AGGGGGAAGTCGGAAGGGGGGAGGTTAAAGGTGCGCTATGTGGCCCGATCGTTTTTCTTTTTTTTCTCTCTATTTTCGTTTTTTTTTGTGTGACATACAGACACATAGGGGGAGGTGGGAGCGGGGAGGGCGGAGGGTAAGGAGAAGGCGGGGGGTTGGAATGGGGGAGGTGACGGGGAGAGGATTGGGGGAGAGTCGGAGGAGTTGGGCGAGGGTGGCATTCAAGGCGCAACATCGCATGTTTTTCGTGGGAGGGGTAGGGGACGAGGTTTAGGGGGAAGTTGGAGGGGGGGGAGGTTACAGGTGCACTATGTGGCCCTATCTTTTATCCGTTTTTTCTCTCTATTTGCATTTGATTTTATTTGATGCCTTGATAGGCGATGTACATAATAACCGAGGATCCGCAATGTGATAAGGACTGAATGGACAATGCAGTGCAAGTAGAATCTCAACAAGCAATGTGCGTTCTGATACATACAAAAATGGTGCTGAATAGCGCAGGGAAGACTTAGATACAAATCCTGACCTGACCGGGACTGACCTCATTCACGTAGTACAAGATAGCGAAGCAGAATGCTAGAATGCTAATGACTAGCCCAATCAATGTTTAGACGCTGACCAAACATGCATCGTGTCCGTCACAAGGTGTGAAGGAGCCTGGCGCTGTACACAGGAGGGAAGCGCCAGGTCCAGACATACACAGACGAAGAGGAGGGGATCAGACGAAGAAGAGGGGGAGAGATGGGAATGTCGTAAACACCAAGTCTTTGTCACAAGTCCCAAATAATCCCTCATCGCAATGTCTGAAGCCCAAAAGTCGAGTCTGGATCCAATGTCACCAAGCTCTCTCTCTCTCTTTCTCTCGTAGTCTGCTGATGCAGTGAAGTCAGATGATGAGAGGGTGAGAGGGAGATGGTGGACTGAGAAGAGGAAGAAGAAGAACTCTCTCTCTGTCACGAGGCAGGTACTAACCTGTGAAGTTGGCGCTGTGCTGCAGGTACCTGGAAGACGAAGCTGGAGCAACGGCGCTGCAGGTAGGTACTCCTGGCCTCCGCCCAATCTCGCCAAATCTCTCTCTAGTGCTATCCTAGCTATGGCGCCCAGCGCTGAATACTACAGCTACCTACTGGCGCCCAGCGCTGAAGACTAATGCTAACACTACTACTACTCCTGCAGCCTCCCTCCAGAGTGCTGCTGCCGAATCCTGAAGACTACTGACTGCCTCCTGCCCACCCGTGAAGTGCATGGGAAGTCCGTATGTACTATCTCGGCCTGCCTCCTGACTGCCTCCGACTGCCTGCAGTTGCAGGGCGGCCAATCCAGGAGGCTGCTCTTGCCAATGCCCAACTGAGCCAGGGGCTGGCGCTGCAGCTGTCGTGGGAACAGGCCAAAAATAGCCTGTTCCTAAAACCCTGGTTCGGTGCCTGAGTTTTAGGGCAGGCCGGTCTGATTTTCAGGCTTTCAGCCTGAGGGACGCAGGGCCTGGAAAACGGCCCTCGTGTGCAGGCGCAGCGTGTAACATATATATGTATACATACACACACACACACAGAGAGAGAGAGAGAGAGAGAGAGAGAGAGAGAGAGAGAGAGAGAGAGAGAGAGAGAGAGAGAGAGAGAGAGAG